CCCATGAAGGTACATTTTTTTTTTATTACCACATGCATACATTTAATTAACCAATAACAAAACATTAACTTAAATTCATTCACCCATAAACAGAACTGCATGTCGATAAATAATTATCAGTATCAGGCAACGATACATTATTACATTATGACGCATTTCATGACCTAATACATTAATGCTTGTTTTTATTTTTGTCAATTGCTTGAACCTGTATTCGATGTGTACTACTGTAAATGCATTAGTTATTAATTATGTATTTATTTAAAGTAATAAAAAAAAATTATAAAAAAAAAAAATGTTATACTGTACTGCCCTTTCTCTGCCTGTCTAAACAGTGATATCAAATAAAAGTTTTATCACGCAAAAAAAAAAAAAAAAAAAAAGCATTAATTATTCAGTGTTGTAATTTTGCTATTTTCTCTGATAAGTAAAATCTGCTAAATTAAATCTATGTGAACATGTAAAATGGCAATATTGTTTTCTTGACAAATTCATGAAATTAAAATACAGTGAATATGCTCAAAACATCAAAATGATGAAAGTGAATTGTTTTAGAGAATCCGTAAGCTTCTTTCGTAAAATTAGATTTCTAATCCGGTGCAACGAAACATGACTACCTGTTTGCTGAGTGCAAACCTTGTTATTAAATTGGATTTTCGTGTAGCATTAATTTGGGTTGCTTTTGTTGATATCATCTAATATTGAAAGACACATTTACAGAAATTCCGGGCGATTTGTTTGTGACTAGACTTTATTTTAGTTTTTCAATTTCACCCATCGGCGAACGCCACTCTGTAATTGGTGATTGTATGTTAGTGCTCACTTATTGGAATACTGACTGTGCATAGGTGTGCAGTATAATATTTTGCACCCAGCAAATACAATAAAATGACCTAAAAATCTGTAAATTGATCTTTATATATTCTATTAATTCCCCCAACAACAAAATCATGACTTTCATTAGCATGCTAGTAATTCACACACATTCTCAAAGTAGTAGTTTTACAGTATTCAGTGCATGTCTGACATTTGGTGGCGCAGTTCCACTTTGGAAGAAGTCGGAAAACCGGAAACAGTTGGCTGCAACAGGAAAGGGGCGTTGTTGCAACTTGCAATCGCAAAAGATGTTTTTTTTTTATGATTTAGATTTTTTTTCAGGTTAACAGATTTTAATCAAACCATAAATGCATTCTTTTTGAATACTGACTCAAACTAAGAAAACAGCTGGACAGAGCAATATATTTTTTACATGTACATGATACCTTACTATTCAGATGAATTGTCTTTTTTTCTGGTGAAATAATTCTATTCTATTCTATGGAGGATAGGGGAATGGACTGAATTTACCTATTTAGTTTTGTAAATTTGTTTTTGTTTTTATAGTTTTACAAGATGGTTTGAAAGCCAACTTCAGTGAGGTCAGTGTTGGTGTTGTGGATTGTCCGGATCTCACTAAAGAACCTTTCACCTTAGCAGCACCTGGTAAGTAAGTGTAAAGGGCGAGTCATTTAAAATTCCTGATTCCTGAATTGTTAGCCCCTGCACATATTGAGTGAGCAGTGGTCAACAAAACATTAAGGTATGACAAATTTTGAGTGTTGAGTCAAGTTACACCACTCGTCCATGTTTCCAACTCACAGCGTAAAAATCTCCGCAGATAAAAGTACCATCATCTTTCGACTAAGCCTCTGAAAGTTTTCATACTACTGTAGAATACTTTATTTTAGCTGGAATTAATTTTCGCTGAAAAAGCTTTTTGGGTGTTTTGTATGGAATTCATTTTCACTGATTTTTGATGAGTTGAATGTGAAATATAGGAAGAAAAGTATATTCGCTGGATTTTATTTTCACGGAATCATCCCTTCAGCGCAAATAGCAGAAATAAATTCCAAGCGAAAATAAAGTATTCTACAGTATTCTGCCTATTTTTGGCTATAGAGTGTAATATTTTTGTATTTTCAGAGGGTGTTATGTCAGTAATATTTACTCATTTTTGTTTCAGCTTTCTTATTTACTTAAAATTGTTCTCAGTTTTCCTCACATAGTTCTTCAAGATGCCCTTTTTGTACCCATCTGTTGTTTTTACTTTTTATATTTTGTCCTACTCTCACCCGTTGCTGTCAGTGAATTGGGAATTCTGGGAGGCCTGATAAAGAGTATTTGGTGGATTATTATAAGTCCTGGGAGAGACAGAATGGTTTCAGAGACAAAAAAATATATTGCTGGATGCACTCACATTTACTGTTTTACAAATAAATGCATACCAAATAGTAAATATTATAATAATAAATATTTCAAATTGACAACGTTTACACTCATGGTATTTTGTTGCCAGAAAACACTTAGTTAGTTGTACACATTTTATTAGCCATTTTCTAATTAATTGGTATTAACATGTAATTAAGAAAAACCTTGTTTGTTTTCTTCGTGCAGGCTAACATTTGTATAATGTAATGTAGGCTAACTGTGCCCAAACACACATTTATTCACTATAGTAGTAATAAAGATGAATTTTGTTCTCGATTAATTGTGTCTTCTTCTAAACAGTATACACTGAGCACTGTGGCGTTTATTTTATTTTCATCTGTGTGTAGGCTTATGTGGCAGACCACGCATGGCAGACATTGGTGGTGTTCCTTATCTCATGCCACTAGTACAGAGGCATAAGGTAGAATTTTCAAATTTGTCTGTTTACAAGTGTTTGTGCTGTCCATATACAAAATACTTTTACTCCATCGTTCTGACGTAATAAATTAAACAAAATTGCGCTAATTTCCACAAAATGGTATTTTGCTCACAGATCATATTATTATGTTGGTCTAGCAATTTGGACATAAAGAAATCAAAGGGTTGTGGTTAATTATAGATTGGTAAATTAAAAGAGATCGTCAAATTTCACAATCTGTGCTCATAAAAAATAAAACACAAATAAAAAATGGTTACAGAACTACAGTTTGTACAAACTTAGGTAAAAAATGATTATTTTTGATTAATTTACAATTGTTTCCTCTGGTGATAAGGACTTGTTTAGTAACCTATGATGAAAAAACTGTCGTTGTTATGAAATGGTTACCCTGAAATATTGGAAACATTAATGCTTCAACACCAGTTCTTATAGAATAATAATAATAATTTCCATTTTTGTACTTTTTCTCTCCAAGAAAAATATTTGTTTTGTGTAAAAAAAAAAAAAATGACTTTTTGTGTTGCAGAAATATAACTTTCAAGACATTGCTGAGAAAATTGAACTTCCTGGAGCTTTTTTAATTGGTGCTGGTGCTGGACCATTGCATGTGGTCGGCACCAATAGTGAAGTAAGCAAATCCTGTTTTTTGGACTACTTTATTGCATGTAAAAAGTTGTGCTGTGCTGTGCTGACGAATAAAAGTTGAACTTGAATGCTCTCTGGTTTCTTTGATGTTTTGCGTGTTCCTAAGTTAACTCATCACACCATGATAAAATTGATAATGGCTTCGCTCTGTCATCACCCCGTTCATGGTGGTACTACTAAAACTCACAAACCGTTCAATATATTCTTGAATTCAGATGATGACGAATATCAATCTAAATAATGGTGACAACAGTACGTATACATGTAAAATGCATACTGAAGATGAGAATTCTTATATTTTAGAAAAAGGTCTCTCACTGGATTGTAGTTTATTAGCAAATATTTATGCGAGTGATGGAAAACCAGGAAAGGTAAGAAATATAAGTTACTCCATTACCCGGATGAATCTTTTATCGTTATTCAAATAGGTTAAAAATAAAATACGATAGTATTCAATGAATATTTTATCATACATGTACTATGAATTTAGCGTAAAATAGAATATACTGTTCCATGAACAAGGTGCCTTTGCATTCATTCAAAACCTATAATATTCCAGCTTGCTGCTCACATATCATGATTTTTAAAATTGTCCCGACACTGATCATCATCGTTGTCTTTTCTGATGTTATGTACCGGTACATACAAGTTCTAGGGATTATATACTACCAGGTAGTAGTACATATCACATACAAAAGTACCAGTACAAATCCAGTATTGCATCAACAAGGCATGTCATTGCCGTACTAGTGAATGGAATTCTGCCAGTGGCTTTGACTATCCATCGAATCTGTTACACGTACAACAATTAGAAGCATGAATATATTGGTGTATTAAGCTGCAACTGTGATTTTTTCAATTTGAGAATTTTGTGACTTGATAATTTTTATCTGTCATTCACAAAATCATTAAAAACTAAAGTTATCTACATATATATATATATATATATATATATATTAATATACAGGTGATTGAAGTAAAAGCAAGTACTCGTACAGGTCCTGAGAACTTTGTGACATGTATGCGAAAAGCCTTGAAGGAGAAGTATGGTGACAAACCAGTGGGAATGGGAGGAACTTTTATCATCGAGAAAGGAAAGGCCAAAATTCATATCATGGTGAGAGATAACAGCGCCATCTAGTGGTGAATCTTTAAATTGGGTGACCTATAATGGTGCACAAATGAGATATCCAATCAAATGTATTCTTCTTTTAGCATAACAAAGTTCAATACTCTGGATGAGATTGCTTTCCCATCATGCATTTCAAAGATAGACCTATATTATTCAACAGGCTTCTTCTTTTAAAGGCTAATCTTAAATTTTTAATTTTAAATGTACCCCATCTTGAGTATTTCTACTTCATTTTCCTCCATTATTTTTTTGTCACACGAGAATTCATTCCAAATGCTTTAGACCGAATGGTTTCATAGTATGTATTCAATAAAGTAATACTAACTATTATACAATATTTCTCATCATAGCCTGATTTCTCAGAGGTGCCATTGGACTCTAATGAAAAAGTCGATCAGTGGTTGAAATTTTTTGATATGAAAGCCATATTGGTGTGTTTAAGTGTCTTTATATCGCATGATCCGGTAAGTAATGCATAAAGCATCATCAATTAAATATCTCTCTTGTATTCTTAATTGATTTATTTAAAGCGAGGGAGTCATCACCTGTGCATGCGTCAGATGGCCATAGCCTGTCATTGTTTACAAACAGACGTCTGCCCATGAGCCTTCGCGTTTTTAGCATGTGCTGTTATCGTCGCCTGGAACTCAATTTCTGCGTGTGCGCAGGTGACGACTCGCCTGCTTTGAAGTGGCACTTAAGGCAGAACTATTTTAATATGTGCTTAGGGAAGGTTCACACAATTAATTTTGATACATATTGATAAATGCTAGTTGCACATTTACAGCCATTAGGTGTCTTTCTTGGTCATAATTAAGTTTTTTGTGATAAATACCTGTTGTGAGTCCCAGTCATGAGCTGCATATAGTGCAGTGTAATAATGGAATGATAGAATACACACATGCTCTATTCCAATGATGGCTGTTTTATGTATTTCATTGAAAAGCAAATTTGTATTATTTTCTACAGGGACTAGATTTACGAGTAGAACACACGCACTGCTTTAACAAGCATGATGGTGGAGGTGGTCATTATCACTACGACGTGACACCCGATGATGTAGTATATCATGGATACTTTGTACCGTCCGAATATATGTACAGGATAGATGCACCAACAGAAACGCACATGATTGGCAGAGATTAGAAAGCATCATTTCATTTTATTGGTGGGAAAAATAGGAGACAGTTGATTGGTTCAGATTAGAAAGCAACATTTCACTTTACTGGTGGGAAAAATAGGCGACAGTTGATTGGTTCAGATCAGAAAGCAACATTTCACTTTATTGGTGGGGAAAATAGGAGACAGTTGATTGGTTCAGATCAGAAAGCAACATTTCACTTTATTGGTGGGAAGAATAGGAGACAGTTGATTGGTTCAGATTAGAAAGCAACATTTCACTTCATTGGAGGGGAAAAATAGGAGACAGTTGATTGGTTCAGATTAGAAAGCAACATTTCACTTCATTGGCGGGGAAAAATAGGGGACAGTTGATTGGTTCAGATCAGAAAGCATAATTTCACTCCATTGGTGGGAAAAATAGATGACAGTTGATAGGTTCAGATTAGAAAGCAACATTTCACTTCATTGGAGGGGAAAAATAGGGGACAGTTGATTGGTTCAGATCAGAAAGCATAATTTCACTCCATTGGTGGGAAAAATAGGAGACAGTTGATTGGTTCAGATTAGAAAGCAAAATTTTACTTCATTGGTGGGAAAAAAAAGGTCTGATTGGAGGTGAATGTGGTCGAATATATTTTTTCTCTGATTGGATTGACTAGATATTGAAATCCTTCAATGAGATGGAGCTTATTTCAATAAGATGTTCTCTGATTGGTGAAATTACATTTCTAGATACAAGTTAGGGAAATGTATGTTGTTGTTTTTTCTGATTAAAAGTTACATTTTCATTTATTGTGTAGTTGCTAAAGTGATGCAATGTCCAAATTATTTTAACTGTAAATAAATCTGATGTAAAACATAATGGTGGAGGAAAATGTAATTCTTTTTGTTCATATTGGTCTTACATTAGTGATTGGCCAATGACGACGTAAACTAAATGTACAAGATTTTAGGAACTGTGTGGAAATTTCTAGCAATGATGGTTAATGGCATACAGTATACCTAGCTAGCCACAACAAGACAAAGCCTTGGATATATCATATCACAGGTTTGACTTCTAATTAAATATTTATGTTACATATCCAACAATGTACCGGGTACCCCGTTGTTTATGCCTACTTTAAACAGATAGAATCATCACACCCAAAAAAACTTGAACTTGAACAACAAGCCTGGCTATCAAGCCATGTTAGATTTGGTCTTGAATAGAATGAACAAATATGGTAGGCAATACCACTAAATGAAAAAGTTAATAAGTTATTTCAGTCAACTTTATTCAATGCCTAAAAATATGTCTTTTACATAAAAGTGCATGTACTATATAATTGTTAAAATGTCATGGCTAGAAAATTTCTGTGATCCAATAATTGCACAGAATATGTTAAAATGTTCACTTGGAGCATGGGTTTTTAAAGTCTCATGGTCAGGTGCTCCATCGGCAGTAAAAAAAAAAAACATTCTGACCACATGCCAGACGCATGACATCCTTAAAGTTGGTCAACGAGGGCCTAAAGCTTTCTCATCCTGCATACAGTTCGTCTTCAGTGCAACTAAAAATTCACAGTATAATTCTGATTAAAGCATTTTCTTCACCCTTCAAGACGCCTCTCTGTAGGTGTGTCGTAAAGAGACTGTGGCTTACGACAATGAATTACAGTGGGGTAGCTGCAACACTCCATTACCCCTCTGACAATAAGTACTAGTACTAGCTACTTATTCACCAATGAAATAACAGCTGCAAATTGATTACTAGAGTGTAGTATTGTGCGACAGATAAATTTTGTGGGTATCAGGAGTACATTTATACTTTTCTCTACAACAGTACATGAACGCATGTGCAGTGACTACTAGATCAAGAACTTTAGGATCATAGAATGGCTGGCTGTAGTTAAAGTTGTAAAATATTATTTATAATTTATTTATTGAAATTTGGTTCTTTTCCATGCATTCTTGCTGTTTTTTCTTTCGCCACTCGCAAATATCCACAAAATCACAATTTTGGCATTTCCAAGCGTCTTCAATATCAACGCCTTCAGCCTCTCGGACACCCCTCCAGAACAGAAAGGAATGGTCCAGCTTCTTTCGCAACCAATCAGAGTCAAACTGAACCTTGTCAGTGGCAAATGATAGACAGTCGCCTTGGAAACAATACTCAATCTCCAGTGAGTCCACATGGGGGAGGCTAGAAAACTGAAACTGCAGCAGTGCTGCGTCAAGCAGTTCCCCGAACTTGTCAAAATGGATACCAGTTTTCTGCATATGATCTAGAACTGCACTTCCGAGAACTTTACCCTCATCCAAGTTAACATGACCCAGGATCATCTCCCGACTCAACTTCCCGGACACTAGTTCATCGAACATCTGTTTGTACAGCATAACTTGTAAAGCATGGTTTAATTTCTGAGCCTTTCCTGGCAATGTTTTGGAACTAGATCTAGATTTGAACTCAAGAAGTTGAAGTTCTCCCGACTCATTGTATTTCAGTTCGTCGATAATGCCAACCATAAACACACCCATTTCAAACGGATCCCCGAATATCGGCATCTCTCTGATGCACAGTCTGTCAAACGAGAGACCGTTTATCGCATCCATGATATTGAGTAACTTGATAGCCCAGGAATCTTCTCTACTGGTGACTTTGACAGGAACGATATCATGCACTTCAAGTTCTACAAAGTAAAAAAAAAACATAACATTACGACCGTGCATTTTTATGATTAGCAGATCCCCCTATAGTATTATATTGCAGTGCCTAGTAAAACACTGCACAGGCCATGCTTTAATTTTCTGTATCCATTCCTGTCCTATTTGATTTTATTTGCATGAATTAATTCAATTTTTTTCATATTTCATGAATTAGATCTAACCATTTTAATCCCTGGCATCACAGTTGAAATTTGACACGTAGGGCTTGATATTAAAAAAAATTATTTGTAGCATGGTGGGCTACTAAAAAAAAAATGGTAGTCTTTGTGCCTTTGGCTACTGATAATTTCGAGCCCTATCATGATTATAAAATATGGATCTCAAATTTCAAACCACGATATTGGTTACAGTTTACAAGAAAATATGTTTGGAGAAATTGAGAGTAGTGATTGGAAACATGTTTGAATATTGAACTTCTTTTGTTTACAATCGATATCAATCTGAACTATTTTCAGAAACTTGAGCTTGAGCTTGAAGGCTGTGTAGCGTACATCCTTAGGCACAATAGCCACAAGTCCATAAACTTCTAAATATGTATATGCAGTAAATTTGATTTTTTTTTTCATATAGGAGAAATCGACCAACTTCAAATGTGTAGTTGGTAAACAGTATACACCATAATAGTTAGGGCAGACCACACATATAATTAATGTCTTACCTCGCGCAAGATGCAAGCTACTCCCCTTTACCATGGCTTTATTTTCAACTGGTATCGTGGGCAATGTGTAGGTGTACAAGAGTTGCTGCTCACACCAAGACTGTGATGTAATATCAGTCACACACAGACGTCCACGACGAAACTTCCACAACGGTAGCTCCCACTTTTTTTGAATCTCAGCTACTTTCTCAAGATCTGCTTGGTTTTCCATTTTGTTATCAACTTTTTTTCTTTTGACTGCAGGTTCGTCTGAAGACTTTGCCATATTTTGACGCAACACATCAGAACAAATTCCACCTTCTGATGAACAAACTATAGCAGAGACTCCACTGTTCAAAGAATCAGATGAACATTGGAAATCAGATGCAATGTTTTTACTGTAACTAGTGTGTTCAGAAGAATTCGCTTCATTGCTACATAGAGCATGGTCTATTTTGACTGCACTCAATCTTGTGGATCTCTTTTCACAAGTCAATAGCACATTACCACTGGTTAGGTTTTGTCCCAACTCTAGAAAAATAAAAATATATTATTTGTTATTTAACATTGAAAGTGTAAACTCAGACACTGAATCTGATTTCTAGCGGAATGAAACTTGAAATTTGATCAAAAAAATATTATGGGGACATGCAAAAACTGTACCGTTATTACTATCGCTGCATGTAGTGATAAGTACACCAAGATAGTGTGTTAGCGAGCAATTTTTTAGTCAGTTAGCAATGTTGCTTTCACACAAGCATCTGTCACCTGCTTTAAAACTTTGAACACAACTTCCCTACAGGAGAGTGGGAGTTGTCAAGGAAGCTAGCTAACGGGCTGCATTGGTGGCGGTAAAAAAACATGAAATAAGTAAAATCGCTTCAACCACTCCATGGAGCTAAATTAGCTCCATGACCACTCCAATAAGAATTTAAAGACCAGGCGTTAATACCCCTTAACAAACAGTCATTTACTGCATAATCAGGTAGCTACAAACATTGCTACTGAACCAACCAACCCAGTTATTTACACATGAAGTAACACATGTAGTACCTAGTGGGGGTTTATGTTCACAGATAATTTACATTAAACAAATATTCGCAATATAGCACTCATAATAGAGAAAATAGCAAATTTAAAATGAAGCAGAGCATCATGTTTTTTTACAAATTCCAAAATCCATCCCCCACTCAACTCGCCTCGCTCGACATGGTTAGCAATTACTAGTATTATTGTGCCCTCGTTGTCTGAGTGAATAAGTCACTGGGGGCGCAATAACTATTGCTTACCATGTCAGGTCACTCAACATAAATTTCTACAATTCATAATTAAGTATCAAGTATTTTATTACAAAATGTTTTGGTGGATTCAAAGACTGAATTTTAGCTTTCTGTGACTATTAAAATTGTCATTTTGTTTATGTTTGAGCTTAACTCCATCATGGAGGTAAAAAGAGATTGCCATGACTCCATGTACAAGGACAGGCACAGAGACAAAGAATTTCACATTTTGCTCCTTTTTGGGATCAACATAACTTGCTGTTTTATGTGTTAAACATTTCCGTTCATTGGTGAAAGTCAGTTCATTCAGAAGGTTTTAGAGGGCTGTGTACTGATAGAATGTTCGGTTATAATGTTGGACATGGCCTTTAAAAATCAAGATGATTCCCCTAGCTCATCCGAATAACCTTTGACATTTTAGAATTCCTTTGAAATCATGCATTAGTTTGTTTACATCTTGGCTTAGTAATTTATTCGATGTCTTACAAACAGCCATTGTTCTACTACTTTAATTCACTTGCATTCTCCTCTGCCTCGTGGTTGCTTCGTTATTATTTCATAGTTTTTGCTGTCATCAAATACTGATAGTCACCATGCCTGGCAAGAAAGGTCGGTCAACCCGTGGACGCAAAATAAAAGCACCATACTCGAGGCAGAATGATCGATGTCCATCTAGCTTGCCTCAGAAGACACCTCAACAGTCTGCTAATCAACCGACACCTATTAAATGTGAACAAGATTCAATCAAACGGGAACCGATCGAGGAACAACGCCATACCATGGTAAACAACGCACGGAGGGACCAAGTACTGGAGAACGGATCTCTTGTGAAGAACGAAGAACAATTTCAAACATGTAGTGATGTCCATGACCACCAACATCAGACTACACGTGTTTACCAACAAGATCCACACAGTGCCGTACCTTATGAAACTAATCGTATCGATGTACCGCTAGGTATTCCTCGTCGCAGCACCATGCCGCTGATCCCGCCAGCGGAATTGCATCTACGTTACGCGGAAGAGTCGACACTTAACTCTGTCGCCGATCGCAGTCAGTTTGTGGAGCTTTACGATTTCCATTCGGACAATTTCCGTCCCAATGTAACCCCACGTTTCACAACAAATGTATCAGTTGATGATCGCGGTGATGTTATAATTACGACTGAAAAAGAGCGAAAACCTATTGACTCGTTCGAAACTTGGGTTGAGTGCTTTGCATCGTACGCCGCTTACAAATCATATTATTTCCCCGACCAGGCAATCCCGTTATTCAACTATCTGCTTCAAACGGCACGTAACGCATCAACTCGTCCGCTTCGCGAATGGCTTGCTTATGACAGAGCTTACCGAATTGACGCTGCCCGCTCACACGATCAACGCAACTGGAGTCTTCCAAACATCGAAATCCATCACCAGTGCTTCCAGCAAGAACATAGTCGCGATCACCGACGGTGTTTTTATTGTGGAAATACAGGCCATATCAGACGAAATTGTCCACTGAATAATCCCTTCGAGAGAATCAACGGTAATTAACTATAGAGGGCGATGTCATACGTGTATCGCATTCTCACATCGAAATGACGTTTGTTCTATTTGCCGATGATGATACATTAGATATACCGGTACATGTAGTTCAATTTACAGTATGATACTCGTCAGACACAATATGGTCCCGGTCCATATAAAATAACTGATAACTGGACATACCAATTTATCATACCATACTTTATTTTTTTTAAAAAGCTCAAGAAACTGATTTTTTTTTACAAAATGTACAACTGTAGTTTTTACCTCCATGGTCTGTTCAGTACTGTCTACCAATAGCTATGTTAAATTTCATGCTGGTTTGTGTCTTGGTGATTAGTAGAAAGTGTTTACTGTAAAATGACTAATTTTCACTGGGTTTAAATTTCGCTGATTTACCATTTCAGCATATTCAGTGGGTTTTAAATTCACGATTTTATCATTTAGATAATGTGTTCTATGCTAAATTTTACATATTTACTGGGTTTTAATTTAGCGCCTTTTCAGCGAAATAATAATAATAATTAACCCTTTTACAGTATACTACATGTACTATTAGGTATTAGTGGAAATGATCTACCTGTGGCCAAATCGCATTAAATTTTGGCTTGATAAATGGACACATGTTACCAGGTAGCAATGAAGAGAATGTGATCAAAATCTATAATTGTAAGCCCAAAGACTGGCTATATTTTAGCAAATGTGTCTGTGTCACTGTGACTTCACTAGACAAGAATTTTTATTTTTAAATCAAGCTGTGGAATTCATAAGTGAATACCCGGTACAGTGTATTTTTCTAGACTTTCAGAACCATGAAAACAGAAATAAAATTGTTTAAGAAAATATGAATATTTGTTGAATATTTATTGAAGAAAAATTATTGTCACTGAAAACAACATTTAGATGTGCCACATGTAATTCACTTACCAGACTCTAGGGCAAGTTTGAGCCTGGAAACTTGACGATCGTTTTCAGCAGAAATTCTGCTAATATTTCAGTAGATGACCGTGACGTTAATTGGCTGATAAATAAAGTATGCGCTACTAATCTGAAAATGCAGTTATATACATGTTTCTCATATAAACCAATAGTTGCCGCAGTGGTGAAAGTATTTCAATAAATAACTGTACTTCCACCCCTAATTCTTACTATAACCCTATTGGGCTGGAGAGTCACAGTTTGAGCTAAGGTAAGGGTTGGGGTACAATGGAAAGTCTTACCTGTCATGACACATGAACCAGATTTGTGTTGATAAACAGTGATTTACCCACAAACCCATTGGTGTAGATCTCTCAGCTGTGAGCAGGAATGTGAGTTTTTATTTCAATGTGATGTGCACTTAATATCGACTTTTGACTCCTTAGAGACCTTCAATGCATTCAAATCATTCCAGGATGTACTTTGAAAATTGGTTGTATATTTGTCGATCTGCCCAACAATTAAAGTCACCATCATTGTTAATTATATTTTGCGTGCTCAGCTAGATGGCCCACCACTGCCTTTCATAAAAAGTTATACATTTGGAGGAGTTGTACAATTGTGGAATGGAATGACACATGGTGTATTAAATCTGCCATTTTACTCAATCTTATGTTACAATCACTAAAATACATGTAGTATACTAAAAAAAAAAAATTGACTTCTCGAAGTGGTCACTGAATCATTAAAAATTTCAATGTCACAATCCTGAATTGAATTAAAAAATCCTGACTCAAGACATCCACACATTTGGTCTAGGAATTTTCAACCTATAAAATGATGTACAACCAATAAAATATAGATCTAGAAAACATTTATGCAAGAAGATATCATCAAAAACTTGCATACATTGGCCATAAAAATTACAAATTATGAAATAGTAACAATGGCATTATGATGAGACATGTTAGTAGTCAAACTAATAAATTTTGCATAAAAGTCATCAATATTATAAATTATCTTAAAAAGTTTGGTGTCATCACCAAAAATGAAAAAATTTGAAGCCTTTGACATGTCACCATGCCCAAATAGCACGGTTTCGCTAAAGCCGGAAATTCATAACTGTCCCACATTTTCACATTTACCTATCCTAGTTATAACAGATAGGCCTTATTTTTGACCCCTATTATCTTAAAAAATATGACTTATCTTGACATTATATACTTGTGTCATAAGCACATGTGCTACTAATCCTTGGGGGGAGCTACGTCACAAGACGTTCCATGTTGCTAAGACACGTACCACTATTTCTATGGGCTCTGTGTGCACTGCTGTGGAACGTGAAAATAGCGAAACTTGAGAAAACACAAACTCAACTTTGAAGTAATCCTGAACAACTGAATTTATATATGTTACACATGCAGGGGTAATCTTGTTACACTGTTCAGGGAAGTCTCAACAACCATCCCAAAGTACCGTTTTCTGAGAGTTTTCGACCTTTGTTTTCACCGTGATGGTTGCCAGGTGGTGAAAATGCTAGGATGTCCGCCCCCGAGAATAGA